GGGGGGGGGACTCTAGGTCCGCTGGTCCTGACGACCGCAAGTCGCTCAAAGAGTGGGCTTGTCCGGTGACAATGCCGATATCGGCAACCATGTTTATCCACGTACGTATTGTGGTGTCCTGTGATTTTAGATATCTAACGATGATTTGATCCTTCGCCTAGAGAGTCCCCGGGGGTAAAGCGACCGGGGCGTGAAACTGACCATTCACTTCCAGCTAGTACCGAGGTCAAGGAAATGTGGTTCTATACATCCACTCTCCCATACGTCTTAATGGCGTAGTGCTTAATTAGTTAAGCACAGGGACAGCTTTACCTTTTTTTTTTCTTGGCACTACAGCCCCAGTGGGCCTAGGCCTACCTCCATGAGCTTCGTTCACTTCGGTTTTTCTTGATCTTACACATTCGGTAGGACTCCTTGGGCGGGTGATCAGCTCGTCGCAAGGCCTCTACCTGTACACAAACACAGAAAAACGCACACACACAAACTAAACATATATGCCCTGAGTGGGATTCGAACCCACGTTCCCGGTTTCCGAGTGAGCGAAGACAGCACATGCCTTAGACCGCTCGGCTACCGTGACCGGCAGTTTTACCTTTACCTTTTATTATTTAGTGGTCTATTTATGTGCATAAATGTTATTAGTACAGATTTCGGCTATACTCAATTTTCTTTTTTCATATAGAACCCACTTTTAGCAGAATCGTCATGACTGTAATCAGGTTTATGATTCGTCTCCATACAGAACTTCACACACCTAACTCCAGCAGTTCACCATTTATCGCTGGCGAACGCATACAGATTTCTTATGAAGTACTTTCTTTCCTTTTCTTTATAATATTTATAAAGAATATGAGAATTCCCAAGATCGCCATGTCAGTGCGTACAGCAACGAATTAAAACACATTCTTTAGATGCTGTAGATGTCATTAGAAACTTTCTAGATGTAGTGCATACTTAACTAATACATACGAGACAAAATAGCCTAATGCACGACTCTATGTGTGTATTTACCGTATTTACGCATGTATAAACCGCGTGCGTGTATAGGCCGCAGCACAATTTTCAGACAGAAATTATAGAAAAAATAATTTTCTTGGAATATTATTTCAGGAGTAGAACATTCTGTATTACTAATTATGAATATATTTTTTTAAAATGAAGTGTGATTTCGAATATTTCGAATATAAGCCGCACCCCAGTTTTCCTCTTGAATTTTTGGCAAAAAATGTGCGGCCTATACATGCGTAAATACGGTAATGCATTTATATCGAGGAACCCATAATAAGTAATGCTTTGTATGATGCAGTATTTCGATGAGAACCAGCGGCATCGCACTGACCTTTCAGAACTTCGGAACTCTGTTGAGATGCTAATACCGAGTGAGAGCTGTCATTCTAATTATCTGGGAGTCACTGCCTGGCCGTGGCGTCATACTGACTGACTGTACACAGTTTCGACACCCAGCATCACATTAGTTGATCCCTAGGCTACGTATCTGACGAGTCTCTCTCAAGAACAGTCTTTATTTAGAGCCAAATGAAAGGACGAGTTGACAGTCAGATGGTTATGGAAAGGCTGAACATAATTGTGTAGTGGTTAGCAATTCCGAATCTCGGTCAGCGTAGCGGATCTGATAGAGGTGCGTGATTTCCCTCCGTGTCGCTCTCGAATACTGGGGTAGCACCTTTCAATACGTTACAACTGCCTTCACACAGATTCCGAAATAATAATTTATGATCATACGCACATCCTATTCGACGTTATACAAACTCTGCTGTTAAAGCAACGATGTTAAACAACCAAAAAGTGAACTAAATAATGACCGACTGAGGTCTTGAAATGAGAATGGGTAGAATTCCGGTCACAGACCTATATGCTTAATATAGGAACGTTACAATGGGGTGAAAGTCATACAGCCCTAAAACTCGCAACTGTCTCCTTTCACTGAAAATATTGCCGCATCATGCGCAGCTACTAGGGTCTTGCTTCACGGAAAGAAAAGAAAGAAAAATGCTTTCCATTCAGAAAGTGAAGCCTCTTGCGTAAGCTTTGCAGCAATTCACTGCCAAGTCGAGATGACCACAGCGCCGGAACCGGTTTATTCACTAAGATGGTACGTACAAATTATCACCATTCGGATAAAACGTACTGGACACACTTCTGTGTTGGAATGGGGAGCGGAAAGCTGCACTCGTGCGTTCTTTGCGATGTTGCTCACATCAACGGCAACCCTAGTAAAGAGCCCAGACTTATACGTTATGTTATATTCAGAAGAAAAAGTTACAAAAGATCTGTTGACATTAATTACGTGTATACATGTTTCTTATTGTGATCCATCTTTTATAAATATAACAATAATCTATTCNTGACCGACTGAGGTCTTGAAATGAGAATGGGTAGAATTCCGGTCACAGACCTATATGCTTAATATAGGAACGTTACGACAATGGGGTGAAAGTCATACAGCCCTAAAACTCGCAACTGTCTCCTTTCACTGAAAATATTGCCGCATCATGCGCAGCTACTAGGGTCTTGCTTCACGGAAAGAAAAGAAAGAAAAATGCTTTCCATTCAGAAAGTGAAGCCTCTTGCGTAAGCTTTGCAGCAATTCACTGCCAAGTCGAGATGACCACAGCGCCGGAACCGGTTTATTCACTAAGATGGTACGTACAAATTATCACCATTCGGATAAAACGTACTGGACACACTTCTGTGTTGGAATGGGGAGCGGAAAGCTGCACTCGTGCGTTCTTTGCGATGTTGCTCACATCAACGGCAACCCTAGTAAAGAGCCCAGACTTATACGTTATGTTATATTCAGAAGAAAAAGTTACAAAAGATCTGTTGACATTAATTACGTGTATACATGTTTCTTATTGTGATCCATCTTTTATAAATATAATAATAATCTATTCAAGCTTCACGCAAAGCGAAGACCATAATTATTACACTGAGAGGTGCGACAATTAAATTTGTCCAACCAACTTCTAATACGAACCAATTCTTTACTCCTACTGGCTATAGAGCCAGCTTGGGCCCTGGCCTCTATTTTATTCTTCAGTTTCAAGATCATTTTACAAACGGTAGGACTGCTTGGGCGAGTGATCAGCCCGTTGCAAGGCCTCTACCTAAAGACGGAACACCACAAACACAGAATAAACACACATACATATCAAATATCCATGCCTTGTCTAGGATTCGAATTCCAAGATCCCGGATTCCGAGCGAGCGAAGACAGTATATGCCTTAAGGTTCGGCCACACAGAGCGCTACGTACGATATGTTCGCTATACGAACAGAAAAATATCTCCCCTTATTGCCAATGTGACCGGCCACACAGACTTCCGTACGCTACGTACGCTATGTCCGCTACGTCGCAGAGTGTAAACAGCGTACGTAGTGTACGTAGCGAACACAGCGTAGCGCTCTGTGTGGCCGAACCTTTAGACTGGCAATACGAACCCATATCAACATGAAATCTCATTGATATCTGTTGAGGAATAACGAAAACGGACATTCTGAACTGAGATGATCTCCCGATAATTGTCCATTCAGTGTAAAAAACAACGCATGAAAACTGAAATGAAAACCAGGCCTACAGCAGATGTCGCTAGCGGAGCCTATCTCATGACTTAAGGCTCCTATGTGAACAGCCGGATTACCGTTGCGGGCTCTGGGTACACAACTGGCATTCAGGACACTGAAGCTTTAGGAGGACAGCTAAAAGCATGAAGAGAAGGAGAGGATGATAAGAGAAAGTAAAATGGAGAAGACGATAGGGGAAGAAAAGGAGGAAAGGGAGGCACGAGACGATGAGAAAAGAAGCAGGATGAGGAAGACGATTAGAAAAAAGTTGAAAGGGGGAAGAAGACGTCGAGGAGGATGATAGGAAGATGGTAGGAGCGTAGAAAATAAAGAGGACATAGAAGTAACAGAATAAGTCAAGAAAGCAGTGTTACTATGTTTTATGTCGTCTTCATAACTGTACTGTTCAGAAAACCCCAGGCTGAACTTACCGAAATAGAGAGGGGACTCCCTGCTCGCCACGTTGTCGTCTATGTACGGTATTCCGAGAGTGTACACAGCTGTCTGGCCCATGCCCACTCCAAGCAGACTTGTGAAGAAGATGGCCAGCACTACAGGAGTGATCCTGGAGGCATCTCTCATTGCAGGGGTCGAACTAGTGGTCATGTTGTGGATGACAGCAGGGTGTGAGGAATTGCATATGTTGGGCTGAATTGGCTCCGTTATGTTGCCACCATAAGGACTTCCGACAACTGACGCCACACCACCAAATAATACGTCGTTGTCGCGAATCAGCTGTTTTCCAAACAGGAAATGAGGTAATGAACACGTGAAGGACGACACGGCGAACAAAACCATCCCCCATGCGATCCACTTCGGTCTGTGACCTTGACCTCCATAGTAAGTCAGCAACAACGACGAACCAATCTGTCCAATTTCTGTAGCACTCATAATAATACCAGTCGTTTTGGATTGGATTTGAAACAGTTTTTCTAATGTCGTTATTACACTTACGAAATACGTATAGTACATGCCTTGAAGAACCCACGTAATACAAAATGTCACTAGGAAGGCCTGTTTGGAAGCGAAGATTTGCATCCATTTTGGGGCACAAGGTCCTAAACCACATTCCATCTCCTCAGCCTTACTGACGTCAGTGTCTTTACCGTCATCATCCTCTTCTTCTGTAGCAGAAGAACATCGAACTTTGTTTAAGATTCCATCACCATTCACTTTAACACTTCCGTTATGCATCGGCACTTTGCCGTTCTTGTTGCAGATAACCGTTGAAGCATTATTGTTGCTACGCGTCAGCATTCCTGTTTCCTCTAAGGGTTCCTCCTTTCCATTTTCTTGAATGGGTCGTGTGACGTCCCAGTAAATTCCTTTACTTTTTAATCTGTCGTCAGCGTCAATGATGGCGCCCCTAATATTGTCACTTAGAAGAGTCGTTGATGCATCCACAGAGAGAGACCCCATGTCGTTGGCACATCCGGTAGCGTCTTCGGGGCTCATGTGGCTGTCATCCGGTGTTCGGGTAAACCGGTTACGCCACTTGCCCATTTGGCGAAGCGTGGTTTCCGATCACCTGCAAAAACACAAGCGAAATTTTTAATAAAGTGCATTTGGAAAGAATTTTACTATACTTTCCGCGGATTTTAGCTTGCAGATAAACGATTCCTGGGTTACCTCCTTCCGTACCACGAACGAGATACCTAGTTAACGAACACCCTTCACTTCGGCTGGAAATTTTCCAAGAGTGAAAATAAGTTAGATCTGTTGATAACTCAAGCCAACAATTTACTTTTTTCTTTTTAAACAACTTACATTATACGTTACCATGGATATAACAAAAATAAGGGATGATGTTTTCTGTCTAAACAAAATTCAGCACTGAAAAGTTAAACGACATATTTTTAACTCTATACTACATGCAGCACTGAGTTGTAGCGTCATCTGTGAACAACGAATTGGTGAGGGCATTGAAGGTAGCCATCTTCATTTACTTTAAGGTATTGTTCCCGCATTTTATGGGGGGGGGTCTGAGGTAAGCCACTGAAAATCTCAACCAGAACAGCCAATTTCCATGTTCAGCTCCGAACCCAGGACCTCCGGAATTCGAAGCAGGAGTGGCAGTCACTCAACTGGGCCGATCGATCTCCGCATGATGGATTAGGACTACACAAACGAAAGCAACATAGGGGGGGTGTTGTACGACTTGTTTGCACATATATTCCACAACACGTTTCCTCTTACATTACTGCACGGTATTGATTTCAATCTGTCGCAGACACGCCTGTTTGCCGTAGCTAATTATAAAGGCTCCTCGGCCCTAAATGTCAATCAAATAAAAATGCTATACGTGCGAAATGAAATTAATCACTTGCCGCAACATAATCTGCGCAGTTGAAAACGGGTCGTTAAGAAACTCAAGAATCAGACATTACTCATTTCTTGAGAAATACAGCCTGCTACAACGCTGGAGAACACCATTCAACTCATACTATGCTGGAACCGGTACTTGGATTGTTACTTGTCAGTATAAATCGCTCACGAATGTACGATTCGAACTTTTAAATTGTTTTCTGGCTTGCAATACTACGAAGTCCGCGAGTCCTTGACGGAACCCCTGTGATCATGCAGACCCTCGTGCTAATGACGTGCAAATCTACGCCAAAGAAATCTTTGATCTTTGAGCACTAGTGTCCTTTATTGATCATAGTTGAACGATCTCTCGAACATACGTACATACATATGCGCGCGCACCATTACTGACGCATGCGCTTAAACGGTTTATGCTTGGTGCACCACCTTCTCTCACGCCAAACAGGTTACACTAATATGCCCTCCCATCATTAAACCCCATCATGATTATGTTACTTAATGCAGAGTTTCAAATGCGTCGATTTTACAGTGTCTAATAAGATGGCAATATGATGCCGAAAGGTGGCCAGTTGAGGATTTTGAAGGAGACGGGAGTGGTCTATCTGGGGATACTATTCCTATATTTGCCTGAAGATACCGAAGAAAACCTGGAAGACCTACGAACAGCTGGTAGCACTGTCTATTCAGCTAGCTCCTATCAACAAGGCACAGGGCTTATAAACTGACTACTTACCTCACTACGCATGCACCAGCTAGAGGAGTAACATGCACAAAAAACTGGTAAACTACCTTAAAACAGACAATGGACATTTACGCGTCTTTCAGAATTAATCGTTGATAAAGAAGAATACCGTTTTCTGGGATATGGCGCCGTGTAGATCTTGTGTGAACCGATGTTTCGGAGGAACGCATCGCTTCCATTTACAGGGAAGAAAAATCCTCAAGCGAGGAACCAGCGTGAGTAGGTGGCTGCAGCAAGATCTACAAGCGGCCACATCCCAGAGGACGGCGTAGTTACTGCCGTGAAAACCTCAAATCTTACATAATCGTTCATAAGCTACACAACTTATTCGGTACACACAGCGCAGCTAAATAGTAAACAAACCATGAGATTACTGACTGATCTGTTAACTAATCTAAAGTAAGCAAACAAAATTAACTACTGAGTGAACTGCTACAATGCTAACGTGTGTTAACTTATTTGAGAAGCGCAGGGTTCGAAACTCGATCTTGGATTAATTACCCTGATATTAAGCAGTATTCCTCAGTCCCTCCAGGAAAACGCCGTTAAGCTGCAGCACCTTAACTACTTTTTCCGACATCACTCTGGATTCACCATTCATGATCAGGTGACTACACCTCTTTCATAGTAATACAACACTATCAGATGATAAAGCGATGTGAAATAAATTCAAAATAGCCCATATCGTTGGCTGAATGGTTCAAAGCGCGCATGGTCCTAGGTCGGAGTCGCGAATGTTTACCCTTTGTAGTGTTATACAGTATTAGGGACTATGTGACGGACTGATCTGAAGTCAGAGAAACTCTTCGCACGTCCAACAGATTCGTAATGAGATTAACACCCTCAAGGCAACACTACGTGTAAATAACACCTTACAAAACGCATGTGAAAGAAATATTAAAATTTCTAGAAGCTACGGGCAATAATTTTCGAACCGTCTACAGCTGCATGGTGTTTCCTCAATGGCAGTGTATCTTTAGGGTCGGGGCGGCGTTCCAACAGGAAGCGTAAGTTCTTTTCCCAAAGTAACGCAGTCAGAATCAGTTGCATGTGAGAAAGTGCGTATGTGCAATATCTTTGTACTTACTTTCTTGCTTACTTAATCATGGAGCTGAGCCCTCCTTGAAGAGCCGCGAATTCTGCAGCTACTAAAGAATTTCCCAGCATTTTATGGAACCCGAAGGTCCTTTACCGTGTTCACAAGAGCCCTTCCCTAGTCCCTATCCTGAGCCAGATCAATCCAATCCATACCATCTCACTGTATCTCTCTAAGATTCATTTTAATATTGTCCACCCACCTACGCCTTGGTCTTCCCAGTGGTCTCTTTCCTTCTGGCTTTCCAACCAATGTCCTATATGCGTTCCTCTTCCCCCCATTCGTGCTACACACCTGGCCCACCTCATCCTCCTTGACTTGATCATTCTAATTATACTTGGAGAAGAGTACAAGTTATGAAGCAACGTCTTTGTACAGATTTTTCTAATTTATTGAAAGCGTTACTAACATGATGGTCGTTTATATCTGTGAAGTGGGAACAACTGTGTTGTCCTATGTTCTCAGCGGAGATGTGCAAGGAAGTCTCGTAACCATGGTTACAGACGGAAGCTGGAACACAGCCCTTACATTGAGATCCTTCGTAACAAGGCGACTGCGACGTATTGTCTTATAACCTCGTCATAGTGGGAATGCGTACAGACGTCTGGGTCACTCTAATGACTTCATGTATAAATGTTGAAGGGCAAGAAACTTTTTTTTTTCCATTTGCTGGAGTTTCATCTGCGGTCTGTGCGCCATGCAGCAGACCGACTTCCCGTATAGCGGTACAGTCAGCGTCGGATTATAATAAAATTAGTCACTGTAAGCCAGTTCAGCGAGGACGATTTACAGGACAGGCCACGATTTCCCAGCACTGCCATCACAATGGGAATTTTGAAGTCTACAATACTTAAAAATTTCTTAAAATAATATTAAATGAACAAGGAACGTAATATACAGTGTTCCAGGAGGAAAACTCAATATTCTTGGTGGCCAAAATATCGGTCATTCTAAGCAAAAAAAAAAGTGTATATGTACATGTGTCCTATTCCAAACGGTTTCCGAGATAGAGCTATTTCACGGCACAGTTCAAAAATTGTTGATAAGAAAGATATATTACGTAGTGTTTCTAATGCCGGAATTTATTGTTTAAGTGACAAAGTCGGTACAGTTTACCTAGTACAATACATGCTATTTTTTAGCGTCCTGTTGCACTGACTCATGTCCATGATTTATGCTAACCGTCTTACAGTGCATACATTTTTTCACCTTACTCTTCTCTTTTGCACTACAGGTTTCGGCACTAATGTGCCATCTTCAGGTGCGTTTTCTCTATGCACGTCTAACTACTGCATTGCATGCCCTGATGTCTTCATACTAAAATGACTAAAATATATATTCGTCATGTATAATAATAGATTTTAAATATTAACACTTTTCAGGATTCGTCATCCTTACGTAGTATCTCAATACGCGAATCACGCCAATCCTCCTCTGTGGGAGCACTCTTCCTACATTCGTGTGTGTATTGTGCTCTTTGTTGGGTCTTGCTCCTGTGACTGCGTGCAATGAAGTAGTTAGACGTGCATAGAGAAAACGCACCTGAAGATGGCACATTAGTGCTGAAACACGTAGTGCAGAAGAGAAGAGTAAGGTGAAAAATTGTATGCACTGTAAGACGGTTAGCATAAATCATAGTACAATACGTTTTCGAAAATTCCACGGGCAACACCAATGCACTTTGCATCTCGTGTGAGGACATGGAGTGTTGCTCGTCTGAGTGCATCTTGACGTTCCTATACAGCGAAACAGCTCTGTCTCGGAAACCGTTCGGGTAGCACACATGTACATATACAGTTTTTGTCTTGGAGTGACAGATGCTATGACCTCCCAGAATATTGACCTTTCCTCCTGGGGCATTAGCTAAGTGACCAAATGGGCAACTAGCTAACTACACTAGGCCGCGCCATAGCTCAAGCGGTTAGTCGTTGGCTTCCCACCGAGGCGGCCCGGGTTCGCTCCCGAGTGTGGTCAAGTGGCATTTGTGGTGGACAAAGTGGCGCTGGGGCAGGTTTTCTCCGAGTACTTCGATTTCCCCTGCCAATTTTCATTCCACCAATTGCTCCACAATCACCCTCACCTATCATCTGGGGCTGGTACAATAGGCCAGAAGTACAAGGGACTTAGTTCCACCCCACTAGCAATAAAGAAAACTACACTACAGAACACTAAACGAATAACCATTCGCAGACAACAGGACCAGAAGGTTCTACACCACTAGAGTGTTCTTCACTAGAACTGGCGGCTGAGTCCGGCTTTTCTCTTTGTGAGTGGCCATTAGGTACAATGAAAGGCCGCTGATCAGCCGCAGGAGTTCAGTCTGTTCAGAAGCTGTTTGACAGTAGCACCTGCAGCAGAACTACGT